AAATTTTGATCACGCCATATTTCTTTGAAGCAGAAAAACTTAATTGTATGTTATCAAAGTAAAGTTTTATCTTAACCAAAGATAGACACTTAAAAGTATATATCGTATTATATCTAAGCTTTGTCTTTCTTTAAATTAGGAATGTATAGTTAAAATAATTCTGCGAATATATATCAATTATAAAATGATAAATACCGTACTCAAAATCTCTAAATATTATTTCATTAATTAAATTAATCCTAAAGTCATAAATTAACGTAAGAAAAAGTATATATGAGAATTTATTTTCACAATAAATAAAATTTACATTATTTAAAAAATAATATGACAAGCTTAAAATTTTGTATAAGTTGAAAATCACAAGATTTTCTCCAAACATAGGGTGGATTCTAATATTCTCCCTTCTTTTGTAAAAAGTAAAGAAAAGAAATCTTTTGCAAAAGCTATCATGTATTATGAACCGTTGATTTTAATCGAATAGTTAAGAATGAATTACAGGATACCGATTATTCAAGTTAAAATTTTGAAAGGATACACTGGTAATTTCGTGCTTTTATTCTTTCTTCTTGTTTTGTACCTCTTCTTCTTGTTGATCATGTTATTTTAATTTTTTGCATCGCAACATAATTATCGAACTGGGTCGCATTATGTCCCATTTGATTTTCCAGCAAACATGAAATTGTATCAGAATTATCTCTTGATGTTTACATTTAACAGTGATATGTTTTATTTTAGTTGCACTTTTATTTTTCATCTGTGAAAGACATATATAATATTTGATGGTGTTTGTGGTGAAACGCAGACACATTTTCTGCTATATCAACCTTTAAGATACAAATTGTAGATGAAATGATGGAAGTGATAAAATAATTCAATTTCGAATTGTAGACAATATTATAGAAAGTTAAACGTGAACATCAGTTTGTGCAATAACCCACATATAGAAGAACTCATGTTTATTAGTGTGATAAGAAGAATCTATTTACCATTTTTGTTGTGAAAATGAAAATGAAGAATATATACGTGAAACAAATAGAAGCGGGAGCTTAATGGGGCTTTACATTTGCATCGGTTGTTATAAAACCAATATCATTAGGTGACGATCATAATCAATTTGCATCGATTTTGTGGCAAGTCCGATGTCATCAGGCAACTACTTTATAGATTATGTTCATGGACTGTATTTGCATTGGTTGTGTTGGGTTGATGTGACCGCTTTTTACATTTGTTATATGAGAGAATCCCATGTAGATATACTTTGTGAAAGACTCAATTTGCATCGATTTTGTGGCAAGTCTGATGTCATCAGGCAACCACTTGTGTTGGGTTGATGTGACCACTTTTTACATTTGTTATATGACAGAACCCATATAGATATACTTTGTGAAGGATTATTGGTTCAATCATCCAATTTGTGAAAGATTATTGCTTGGGTTATCCAATTCAACCGATGTAGAAGTGACAACCCATTTTGAAATTTGAAATAATGGCGTCAACCTGCAATGTCGACGGTAGGTGTAATACATCTATTTAGTTGACGAATGTCATTGTCTGAATATCATATATTATATTTAATTATTTTATATTATAGAACCGATTTGATATGTGTATTAATGTTGTATTCAATTAAAATCATATCAGGTATAACAATTTGTATTTGATATAACGAAAATAAAACTGTAGTCCATTATACTATTATTTATATATTATTGATTTAAAAATTTCAATTTGTATAATTAATATAAAAATATATCTTTATATATTTGATTTAAAATATATAAATTTCACCTCTTCATACGAAAAAACCCTACCACTTTGCCACCCCTCTCACCAAGGCTTTGTTTAGGCTAATACAATTTCTTCCTATGATTCAACACTGGAATTCACCATTTTGTCCAATAGCTCTACCAAGACTTTTGTTTTTCTGTTGGTCACTAACGTAAAAACTTATAAATATGGATAGTCCAACTGTCACACATTTGCATCGGTTGTGTGATAAAACTAATGTCAATAAGTGACCACCTATTACATTACCACATGGACCTGATTTTGAATCGGTTGTCTGGCATAACAGATGTCATTATCCAACCACCTTCTACGTTGTCTACATTTGCATCGATTGTGTAGTCAAAATGATGTCATTATGTGGCCATCTTTTATATATTGTGCATGCCCTCTTTTTGCATCGGTTGTGTGCTACAACTGATGTCATTTCACAAGCACCTTTTACATATTGTGCATGCACTTTATTTGCATCGGTTGTGTGTTAAAATTGATGTCATTTCACCACAAGCTTTTTCACATTGCGCATCTACTGTATTTAGATTAATTAGGTTCTAAGGTCATGTCTTCCTTTGACAATTACTTCGTTATTGTGTCGTGTTAACCATATCTACATCGGCTGTATGGAGCATATGATGTTAATCAAATTTTATGTACACAACTTGTCACATTGACATTATTAACCCTTTTCATCCTATTTACTATTCATTCATATTTACCTTTTCAATATTTAATCTTAGCCATCTAATTTTAAATTGCAACGATCAACGACTCACTCTTAATTATTAATCACTTATGTAAAAGTTATACTTTCCAAAAAAAATATACTTTTTATAAAAGAAAGAAAGATATTAAAATTCATCCATTCACCCAAACATAGATAATGACTGAGGTAGTCAAAAGATCAAATTTAAAAGTCTACCGATTAAATGCTTCTGATTGGCCCAATCAGAAGTTCTACCCCTACCACGTGGTCCTGCCCACAAAATTACCATCACACGGGTCACGTGAATGCTCAGAAAAAGCAACAATATACAACAGAGCAAGCGATGCAGGAGCAAATCACGAGTATCTCACACCACCCTTAATAGCCGCATCATTTCACTCCTTTTTAACTCAGTGGCACAAAGGGTAATTTCTGGTCCATTAAAAGGTCAATTCTGTGAATCCACAAAACATTCACGTTCCACAGGCTGCGCTGTCATCATTATTTTATCCTTAACTTACTATAGATCTTAATTATTAAGAAATCTTAGTTGCATGAAAACATATCATAATTATTAACATTTAGTACAGCTACCTTCTTCTTAAATCTCATTTCAACTTTCACTTGCCGCTGAGATCCTTTTCTTCTTCTTATTATTTTCTGCTAACTAAGATCTAATTAATATAATATTGAAACCACGTGAAGGTGTGTGTGTGTGCACTACAAGTGCCTTATAACTATGCAAAATAATTTTTCTGTAGTTTTCAATCTTCTTATTATGGAAGTTAAGTTGCATGTATTTTGAAAATTTTCTTTAAAATGAGGGAGAAAATGAATAATTGCAAAGATAAAGACTTTAAAATAACTAAAATTTCAATTTAATTTTTTTAAAATGGATAATAAATTTTTAACTCATTCTAAATAACTAGGTAATTGTATCTTATTTATGAAACATTTGTTCATTCATTTTTCAGAGTCAAGCCTGAATCTATATGGGTTATCTTCAAATAGTTGCTTTCAATTAAAGCTATTTTTCCAAGGACAGGACAAGATGATAGCTGGTCATGCATACATATGAACAACTTAACAATACTATATTCATAGCAACAACACTATTGTCAACGATATAGTGAGGACTTACTCCTGCACCCTAGTTTTGTAAACCGCGTGTAACTTTTATTTCAAGATCTGCAAATTTAATGATAAGAGGTATACGTAAAGTAGTACTGAATTGATAATAATTAGTACAAATTACATTAAATTTAATAACTTTTACTTAATATTTTTTCTTTGACTGTTTATAAATCTATTTTATTTTATATAACATAATACTGAATATTTTTTATCATGACATTTTTCTCATGATTTCTTATGTAATTTAAATAGATTGTATGAAGTCAATGTAATAAAATGAACCTTGGGTGTAATTTTATGAAATTTTAAGGAATGTAATAGTATAATTATATCAGGTAAAATTTTCATTAGATTTAATTGGTAGTTATTCTTTTAAACATTAAAATATGTTATTTTTATTCATTATTGTTAACTTTTAATTTTTTTTATCATATTAATCTTTAATTTCATTGTAAAACTAACAACCATTATAATATACTATGTCTATTTTTAGTTATCAATCAAAGAGAGGAGAAATTACGTAAATTAATAAATTTTAAAATTTTGTTAGAATGATTTGATAAAATATTATTAGAGCGTTAGTTAACAAATTACAAAAAATATATATTTTTTTCAAAGGTTATGTTGAGAATCTATATTGGAAATTATGGGGATAGTGCATTAATAATTTTGATTTATTTTAAATATTTAGGGTTAGTTTGATCGACGAGATTAAACAATATAAGAGGATAATTTTTTCAATATTAACTTATATTTTACATATATTTAACTAACAAGATATGATGAGCTAATAAGCTTATTATCATATTCATTTTAGTGTAATTTTATTTTGTGAAATAATTTAGATTAAAAATAAATAAGATAGGATAACATAATATATTAAATAAGATAAAAGCTTATCTTATTTTTATTTAAAATTTATTAACTGTAATTCTTAGGTCAAATTTAAACATTCAAAAGTAGTAAATATTTATTTGAAATTATAAAAATATGCATATTTTATATGCTAAAAACGTCTACATTTGCCATCGAATAAAATATTTTAAAATACTAAAACAACACTTTTTTTAAGAGAATATTATAGTTTTCCACATTTAAACGGGTTTTTTTTTTTAAAGAAACTGTCAGTTACTCAATTCCATATTCTCTGTTGAACGTATTATTATATATATATTAAAAAAAATTCTCATTCATTATTAGAATAGAACGTTAAAGGAAATTGTAGTTGGAATAATTATTGAGCCATATCTAATAATAATAATAATAATAAAAAATCATAATGGTGGGTCCGATAATGGTTTGAGGTGACGTGGCAATAGTTTGGCGCAAAAATGGAGGTAACCGGAGGATATAGACTGGAGGGGAACTGAACCAAGACACAAACATAGTTAGAGAGAGAAAGAGAGGAAATAATGAATGATGCATTCTATTTCTATTTCTATTTCTATTTCTATTTCTATTCTTCTCCTATAACTATGAACCATATCATATCATATAATAAATAAATTAAATAATTTAATAATACTCTCTATTCATTGTCTATTCCATGTTCAGTTGAGTGATCAATCATAACCAACACAAACGCACACACTTTCCATCTTTACAACATTTTTGCTTGCCAATCTCCATTCTCTTCTCTCTCTCTCACTCTCTTTCTCTCTTTTTTGCTTTCTTATTCTCTTTTTGTAGCGGTTTTTTATTTTTGGTTTTCCATGATTGCATCTCACCGGAAAATCCTTTTTCCACCGTCGATTCCCGATCTCCGGTGACCGGAAAACCATTTTCGTTTCCTCCTCCGACTCCCGGCATGGGAAGCATCAACAACAGCGTCGACACCGTTAACGCCGCCGCAACCGCCATCGTCACTGCCGAATCCAGAGTCCAGCCTACTACCGCGCCGGTTTGTCTCTCTCTCTCTCTCTATAGAATATTCCTGTTGTTTGTACGTTCGTCTGTTTCCTCGTTCTCTTTTCCTGTTCGATTTTCGAAATTCGATGCTGTTTGGTTACCGAGAAAAACAACGTGCGAAAGAGAGAAAATAATGGGATCTTGTGTTGTATTTCGTGTTTTGTGTTTTATGTTTCTCTCTGTTTATTTATTTTAATTTTTGTTATTATTTTTAATTTTCATAGTGGTTAAGGCCTGTTCTAGTCTTTATTTGACTGTATGGTGATGATGGCGTTGAAAGGTTTGAAAAATTGAATCGCTTTTCCCTTTTTTATTGGTTTTTTAACATCTCAAACTGTTTCGTTATAGCTTTCAAAAAGTGTGAAAAGATGGGGACTTTGGGGTGTGGATCTTGGATGTCTCCATTTTTTAATTAACTTCATTTTTTTACAATGTTTCATAACTAATCAAAGATTAAAATTGCAAATGAAGAAATGTATCAACCTTGAAGTTCTATTTTTTACAATTTTTTGTGTTCTGCCTTCCGCATACTTGTTTGATCTATCAGAGGTTCAATTCTATTATTAGTACATTGCATTAGTGTTAAATTAATCTAATTTTTGAGCTTTTTAATCTGCAGTTTGCTATGCTGCAATTCATGTGATAACCTCTTTATAGTGCACGGTTAAGTGAGAACTTATCCTTTGGAAGAAAACTTTTAGCTAATAATTTGATATGATGATGATTCTGTATGAACTTTCTTTGCTTGACTATGATGAAACTCTTGGATTAATTTGAGAGCTTTGTGTTCTGAGTTCTGACTTGTTATGTAGTTCTTATGTAAATTAAAGCTGGTGATTCGGTGACAGACCTTTCTTATCTATATGTAGGATCTTCAATCCGACAAACAACTTTTTCATGTTTCAGATCTTTGATAAGCTTTTAAGAAGCTCTCTTCAATTAGGGTTAAGGTGTTTTTGGCAGGTCTGTTAATCTTACGTTACGATAGCATATCATTTAATGAGCTTATGAGAGAGAATTATGTCAATAATGTCTAAAACTGGCGGCGACATAAAACATCCTTGTTGTGACGAGTGTTGACAATGAATTTAGTTCTCATTGTTTTTAGTCGACAAATAGGATGAGTTTGAAAATAAATTGTGGCGGCTATGATTGAGTAGTCAATGTAATTGGCTGATATTGGTTTTCCCCTTCATCTGTTAAAGGAATGAAATCACGCTTTCCTTAGTGCTATTCGCTTTTTACACTTCTACTGATGTATTTGATGTGATTCTTCCATGCACTATCCGAGAATGATGCACGTGTTTGAAATTTTTATGCTTGTTGATTCTTTTGATTTGATTGCATACATAAATGCTGAAATATAATTTTCATATGTTTGATGTAATTGGCTAATATATTTGAACTTTTGAGAGGCATAGGAAACTTCAACTTCTTTAATAATGGGTAGACTGATGAATATCTGCTTTACTTGCACCCTGTTCTCATTAGTTACAATTAGAAATTGTAGAAAGCTTTTCTTGAATATTAACCAAAAGTCAGTGTGTGAGTGTATGTTTATCAGCTATCAGAAATTTGAATGTGCTTACTATGGAAACTAAAATTCTAATGGATTTTCTGAATCTGTTTGATATCTTTTCTTTTAGCGAAACCACTTCTGTTTTGATTCTATTCCTACTTTTGATTTATAATTGTTCCTTCTCTCACTGCAGAAAAAGCGCTGGGGAAGCTGCTGGAGCCAGTACTGGTGTTTTGGATCTCGTAAAACCAGCAAGCGAATTGGCCATGCGGTCCTTGCTCCTGAACCTGTTGCACCAACAGGTCCAGCTGCTGCTGTCTCACTTGCACCAAATCCTCCTACTGCCATTGTAATACCTTTCATTGCCCCTCCATCTTCTCCTGCATCTTTTCTCCAATCTGATCCTCCATCTGCTACTCAATCACCGCCTGGATTACTTTCACTCTCTGCTCTCGCTGCCAATGCTTACTCTTCTGGTGGTCCTGCATCCATTTTTACCATAGGTCCGTACGCCTATGAGACCCAGTTAGTTTCTCCACCTGTATTTTCCAACTTCACAACTGAACCATCCACTGCTCCTTTTACTCCCCCACCCGAATCTGTGCAGCAAACAACACCGTCATCCCCTGAGGTTCCATTTGCTCAATTGTTAGCATCTTCACTAGACCGGGCTCGTAGAAGTAATGGCTCACAGAAGTTTGCATTATACAATTATGATTTTCAGCCTTATCAACAATATCCTGGAAGCCCAGGTGGCCAACTCATATCACCTGGATCAGCAATTTCAACTTCTGGCACCTCTACCCCGCTCCCTGATAGACGCCCTACTCTTGAATTCCGAAAAGGGGAAACGCCAAAGATCTTGGGTTATGAACACTTCTCCACTCGAAGATGGAGTTCAAGGCTAGGATCTGGATCATTGACACCAGATGGTGCAGGGCAAGGTTCAAGAATGGGTTCAGGATCTTTGACTCCTGATGGTGCTGGGCTTGCTTCACGATTAGGTTCTGGGTGTGTGACACCTGATGGTATGGGCCAGGATTCCAGGATAGCTTCTGGCTCTGTGACACCTGATGGTGCTGGGCCAATGAAACAGGAAGCATCTCTTGCAAATTCAGACAATGGACATCAAAGTAATGCAACATTGGTGGATCACCGAGTTTCATTTGAATTAACTGGGGAAGATGTTGCTCGATGCCTTGCAAATAAAACAGGGCTCTTGCTTCGAAACATGTCAGGGTCTTCACAGGGAATACTGGCCAAAGACCCTGTTGACAGAGAAAGGATACAAAAGGACACCAATAGTTGCTGCAATGTGTGTTCAGGGAAAACAAGTGATAAGCCTGACAATCCTCAAGGAGAAGGAGAGCAGTGCTGTAATAAACAAAATTCTGTAAATTCTTCCAAAGAATTCAATTTTGACAACAGAAAAGGTGATGATTCTGGCACTTCTGCCAATGGCTCTGAGTGGTGGACTAACAAGAAGGTTGCTGGGAAGGAAGGTAGATCAGCCAACAGCTGGGCTTTCTTCCCAATGTTACAATCAGAAATGAACTGAAGATTCAGTTCATTGCAACATGACTTAACCTGTATGGTATAAGGCAAAAAGGATTTTCCATTTCTCTGCAGAACCTTTAGCGTACTGAATGTATATTTAAAGACATTGTTTTAATTTTTAAATGCAGTTCGTCATGCCTCTGAGAAAATTGTAGTAAAATGTATGATTCAGTGAGACTCAGACTAAACAACAGTTGTTATAGTCCTTCAAGACCCAAGGTAGAATGCAAGGGGAGCATGGTAGGTAGGTAGGGACCTATAGAGTGGGTTATATTATATAATTCTATGGAACATTTCTTCTAGCATTTCATCGTTTCATGTATACAGAAATAGCAAAGTACAGGTATTTCGTGTTGTGGATTATTATTGTATCATTTCATGTACAATAATGAAAAAAAAAATTATCCTTTTATTTATGTTTATTTGTTATTTGGGATCTTGGATTTATAAGGAACCTGCACATTTGATGGGGTCTCCAGTTACATGCCTGCAATTGTTGCATTGGTGGGGTATATGCTTATAGGGTGGGTTCCCTGTATAACTTTGTATCTACATGTTTACCTGTATTTGTGCCCTTTAATTAATGCATCAATTGGGGTGCTACACTTGAGCTAGCACAATATGGTACCCATCTGTCATAAACTGATGCATGGTCCCCTTATATGAATGTGCAGCTGAAAGGCTGCAACTAAGTCGTTCTGGCTCATCATTTGGTTCAATTTGATTCCTCATTTCGACCCAAAGAAAATAAAATTGAAGGAAAAAAAAAGTGATTTTATTATCAGATGGCAGGAGTGTGTGTTTGTCATGAGGGGACCCTTTATAGTGCCATGCACTATGTTGGGTTTGTCTGAGTTGTTTCTTCTTGTCTTCTTGTCGCTCTAAGTCCACCAATAAGTTTTCCGTTGGACAAAACGTTTCGCTTTCGTGTCCAACCCTTCAATCATAGGTGGGTGCCTGCTTCATGCATCCACCTGCAGGATTAAACTTTTCCCTTAACCTTGTCTGAAAAGGCAAAAGCTTGTGAATGGTTTTGCGTATTCACAAACCTCTAGTGGCAGTTAAAAACTAGCATTTTCCTATGCATAATATGTGCTCACCAGAACAATCGTGTTAGCTATCTTTTTTTTAACCTTTGCCTACGTTGAAGTACCACTTCACGCCCCTGCCAATACCTTTTTGAAGGACTTATATTTAAATGGTTGAGTAATAAAATAAATAATTGAAGTACCACTTGACACCATGCCAGTGCCTTTTCTCAAAGACTTATATTTTAATAATTTTGTGTAATGTAATTGTAATGAGAGAATTATTCATCCTACGGGTTGGCGGGTTGTAAATTTAAAATAAATTGGATACTCGATCTAAATGATTTTATGAATTACATTATAAGTTACATTACGATTTTGTTGAAATTAATAAACAAAGCTATTTCTTTTCATTAAGGTTTTATTAAGTTTACATATTTGTTTTTAAGTCATCTAGTGTTTGCGTTTAGGTCCCTTTTGTGTTGAAGTTACAAAATCAATTTAAACAGATTTTTTTTTTTACCAATAAAACATACACACACATTTTAATTACATTCAACTGTTTAAATTATGTTCATCGAAATTAATTTTACTGAAACTTGGATTTATGATCTATTCCAAGTGATGTGACATGTTTTTGATAAAATATAGTTATGATATTGACTAGCAATTAGCTATAGATCTTAACTTGATGATGACATAAATCTAGAACTAGAATTTATATATTTATTATTATTGTGGTAGTATGACACAGTTTTTCATTCTATATTTGTGGATGTCTTGAAGCGTCTAATGCCTGCTATGTTCACATCACAATCCTTATGGTTTTTTCAACTTTGGACAATTATGCATGTGGATTCCTATTCAAGCTAGGCACTGTCATCAATTTTTACAATTAAACTAAAACGAAACCATTAGTAAATAGTAGGTTAATTTGTACACTGTTGTGGGCCGGGGCTGGGACGTGTTCCAAACTTCATCTGAGGTTGGAGAAGGTATGTGATTGTTTTTTTTAAAAAAAATAGCTTCCTATTTGTCATTGCTTTAAAGAAGCCCAAACCCAAATTATACAGGAATAAAATACATGTAAATAGTATTATTCGTTTTGGTTCTTGCCTGCTGTTATCTGAAACAAAAAAATGTATGGGCTGAACGTGAAAAAAATACTTGATTTTGTTTTATTCAAATCAATGTCAGCCCAAAATTTAACGCATAATAATGTAAGCAGGCCTGCAATGGTCCTGGCAGCTCACTGACCAATTTTCAAGAAAAATATTAAATTCAATCTTTAGATGTTTGACCAAAGAAAACATTAAAAAGCATTTACTATATTTTTATATATTTAATATAATAAATATTTGTTCAATAAAAATTGACTTTTTCGAATGTTTTAGATCAGTCCTAAAGGGCAAGGTTAGTCAAATTATTTTTCTTAAAAATGATTTATGCTGTTTTAGCTTTCGTTTGGTTGATTACACTTCTTGAGTTTGACATTTTGAACTTAAATTTAATAAAATTTTGGGTTATACTATCATTATGGATCGATTGAGTTCTAGTCTGTAGCTAAATAATTGAAAATACAAAGGGTTTTTTTTTTTCACGTCTTTATAAAATTAAAGTTAAAATTTAAATTTAAAGTAAAAGTGAGCCTATGAGGTAGTCCATTTGACCTGAGACTCACAAAAGACCCAACTGGAGTTGGCCCAATCCTGTAATTTTACCATGGCCCGAGTCGATTTTTATTTTTATTTTGTTTCTAGACCAAAAATAAAATCTAACATTTTGTTTTTGCATGATGGAATTATACGTATTGGGGAAGTTCTTCAATATCTAAATTTATATTGTGACTATCATTTGAGAGTCACCATATGTTGATTTATTCTAAGGGCGAGTGTGTTTGGGAAAGGTTAGACATGCAAATCCTCACGGTGAAACGGATACATAATCTTTGATTAAACATAACAGAAAAACATCAAAGGAAGGGATTAAAATAAATGTTATTGTTTCTTCTGCTCACAACATGTTTAAAAAATTTAGTAAAAAGACTCATAAAAATCTAGAAATATATTGAAAAATCTATGATGAGGATAAAAGAAGACAAAATGTCAACTGCATATCACTAGCAATCGCTTTAGCATTTTTTATGAACATAGTAAGTAACTCAAGGAACTGTAACATGTACTTACTTTGGACATTTAATAGAGATAGTTAGCTTTAGCTGTATGGGCAATCAATGCTGACTCATGTATTTTCTAGTACCAATGTGACATTTAACATATCGTCAAATTGAAGGAGTTATCCAAAGTCTTATAATATAATAGGTTGATATAGATAGTAAGCATATAACAATCATGTATTCTCATCTTACTTATTGAATAAAATCAGGTATAGCAATAGGTCGCTCCCTAGAGCCTAAAACACAATCGCTCTCTAGCTGATTACACTAAACATGCAGTGTCATTTTTCTAATATCTTGGAAATTGTGTACAGATATCATGAATATTCTCTCAACTATTACTTTAATTTCATCCATTAACTATTCAAGGTAAACAACATCAACGTTGAAAACAAAGTGAGTTGTTGGTTCATTTAGGGGCGTTTGAAAGAATTCTTTTAATTCTTTTTATATAATTTATTAAAATGATTTTTATTTATTTCAATATATTATACTGTTAAATTTGTGATGATTCTTACGCAATAAAAATTTATTAAATATATTTATTAATTAAATTATTTATAAAAACATCATCAATCCATAATTTCTTAAACATAAAACTTTTCCATAATTAAAATACCTAATCCAAAAATATATTATCATGCAATGGATCCATTCAGTCCAAATTGGCGGCCTCAATGGCATCCCTTGTTTAGGTTATAAACAAATAGAAAGACGATTATATAATATTTTTAATAGCTTTTTTTTATTAAAAATAAAAATTTGTCTATTTGTAAGTCGTATAAATTACTTTGTACACAATATAAATGTTAATTATGTGATATTATTTTTTTACATTTTAAATAACGTATTATATATATATATATATATATATATATTAAAAATCTTATTAGCTTCATAAAGCACTGATTAAATGCTAATAATTCAATTGTGATTGAATCAAAATTAAATTAATAACAATTAAATATAATATAATGTTAAAATAAAGTGAAAATTAATGAAGTGTGAATCAATTTTTTGATACCGTAAATATTTGTAAAATTGATTAATTTTAGGAGAATTTTAATTTTAGCAGATCAAATTTACTTTTAACAAAAAAAAAAAATTATTACGTTTTCATTTATCATGTGCTACACATATATATATAATGTCTTTTAGTTTGGTGCGAGAGAGGTTAAGGATATGAAAGTATGCTAGAAAGATCAAATATTTTATTCTTATATTGTTTCATAAGCATTGAAAACATTTTAATAGATGTTGTAAAGTGTGGCAAATTATAACGTGTAGTGGTGGCATAACTTTACGTGTTCCTTCTTTTTAATTTCTTATATTTTTCTTTGATGAAAAACATACGAAATACTAATTATATTATTTATCAACAAGACCAAAACCATTATTATGCAAAGCTTATTTCTATCTTCTTAATGCAAAGATAAATAATAATAATAAAAATACATATTTTACCCTTTTTGGCTTTGACTATAATATCCTACATTGTTGAAAAACTATCCCATTGGATACTTCATACTAGTACCATATATAACTAAAACACTCTACCAATTACCCACCTAGGAATCATTTAGCACAACATCCAATCCTTGGTGATGAATGATTTTTGTGATAAACCTTCTTATTTTCTTTCTTTCATTTTATGAAGATCTTGGTATATTTTTTATTTAATAAATAATTCATATAGAAGTTTACCAAATGAACAAACAAACAAATAAATCAACCATCAATAATTAAAATTTCATTTAAGTAGATAAAGACTCCACTCGAGTAGGGTTCCACCAACACTCACGAAGCTCAAAATGTACGCAGTTGAAATATACTACTACCTACAACTACTTCAACATTGTTTTCTAAACAAGTTTATCCTTGCGAAAATGACAACTTTTTGTATATGGTCAAATGTGGATGCATGTGTTATTAGACTTTTTCAACACATGTAGTATGAACATGCAACCTAAAAAAACCTTCTAACAATTTTTTTCTTCACCTTTCTTTGTGTGTATTAACATGTATTAATGGCCTTGGAAATTTGAATTTTCAGTTTCCATGGGATACTGTATACTGTATATTGGGGTTTTCTAATGTATACTTATAAACACAAATTAGAAAAAATAAAAGTTTTTAATAAATTATAAAACATTTACTTTGTCAAAAACAATTATTTAACACTTTTTTTCTCAACAGTCAAGAGTACTCTAATAGATACCTGTTAAAAAAATATAGAAAGTTTTTAATAAAGAAGAAAACATCTATTTTGTCAAAAATCTAAAAATTATTTAACACTTGCTTTCGGAACTCCTAAAAATGAATGCCTTATAAGAGCAACTTTATCGGTACACCAATCAGAGAGAAAGAAAATGTGACTTTTCTTTATGCAAGATTAAGGGTGTGAAACAAGTAAAAATTTCACTAAAGTGACACAAAATAAAATAAAAATAAAAATTGACGTGTAAAAGAAGATCTATGTAAAAAAATAAAACTTAAATTAAACAGGCAACTTTCATTCTACTTTTATAGTTTTT